TGGATTGGGCCTATTAAATTAAGAAACCGCATGTTGGGCTTGGGCTCGACCCACTAACCCACATGGCCTATTTACATTTTCATATATGAGTGTGTGTGTGTGTGTGTGTGTGTGATTTCATTCACAACCAAGATATGATTTCTAAACTTAATTAAATCCCCCTCCCGTTTCTTGAACTCTTTATACTTTGTCCAACTATTGACTTAATCGTTGGAGTGCAAATGGTTGTTGGACCTTTTTCTCAATCGCTGACCTTTGCCTCATAACGGGATGTTCAATGTGTAGGTGATACCCACGTGGAAGGGATTTGACTGGGATTTTGATGACATAATTTTTAAAGTTAATAGATTGACACCATCTGTGAGAGACTAATATATTAACCATGTCACCACATCTACATCTAAAAGGCCACAAGAAAATTATATTTTTTTCGAATAGTTCATTCTACTGAAAAATAGAATGTCTTCCATCAAAACATTGAAGAAGTCAGTCACCAAATGGAATGAAGGAAAAAATGCCATTGAAAAGAGACAATGGAAAATAAATTTTCCCCGAAAGGGCAAAACTTGTCGAAGAGAGGAAACTGCGATCAGAAAATTATGAATCAAGGTTTGAAAACTTTCCAAGAAAAAAGGAATTTTTTGCCATAAAAAATGGATATCTCCAGTCGACGATTGGAAAAACCCACAACGAAAATGGATATATCAAACAAAACTGGAAAATAAAATTTCTCGGCAAAAATCAAAGAAAACCTTCTACCAAAATCAGATACTGGTGATGCTAATGAGAAGAAGCAAAAGTAAGCCCTCCACATTCCACTTTCTGGATTTTGAAAAATGAAAACCACAATTTTCATATAGTTGTTGGCAACAAGAAAATCAAAGAGTGAGAAAACATTTGATTTGTTTCAACTCAAGTAACGAAAAACCCACTCCTGTAGTCGTCTTGATCCCATTTTTCAACACATTATACTCCCAAAATTTACATCTTGTTGTACTAATTTTGTGTAAAAGACAATGCCAAATAAATCTAAATAGATTCAAGTGAAAATGCAATCCAAAATTTCAAACCGACTTGAAGACCCGTCGGAATATGACTTTCATGTTCTTGCACAAGCTGTATCTTTGACTTCCTACTATCATAAGCCATTATAGCCTCTAGCAGCGACCATCAAGATAGCTAAAGTAGCAGTCGCCAGTATTAGCAAAAAGCAACATCCCACGACACAAGGGTGTCAGGGCGGTAGTATATGTAAATGGTTGTTCAAGACAAAGAAATATTCAAGTTTAATTCTCAGGAGCGTAATTAAATTTTAAAGAAAGAAAGTAAGAAGAAGAAAACAAAAGAGAAAACAAAATCCGACAACTGAAAATACTCTCTCCTTAATACAATATTACCCCCCAATGGTGCTAACGGACTACGACATTTGTCTCTCAAGATACAACTTGTGGTAGAAGCACTTCAAACCACAAGCAACAATGAACTTAAAACGAAATTTTCTCTTTAC